GGCTAGAGGGGGCACTGAAGGCCCAACAGGAAGCCAAGGCAAGCAGTGTGCTCAGGCGCGCACAGACTCATGGATGGAAAAGAAAGCCCCTCACAGACCTGTCCCCTTGAGAGACAGGTGACATTCACAACCTAGGCCAATCATCCACATAGAAAACCGTCCAGCTAGATGCGCACTAATTCGAACCTTACATCATCTAGAAGAGCTTGAAGACCTCAGTCAGGAAAGGGTTTATGAAATCAGACAGAAAAGACATGAAGGCACCAGAAAAGCCAGTGAGACGGACTACAGTGGAGTTTAACATGTCTGTTCATCAAAAACCAACCAAAGAAGATGAAAACGTGAGCACAGAGATAAAATACTCCATGTGTGTATTCTAGTCATGTACCGAGAGTCCAAAAGAAATCAGAAAGGTTGAGACAAATGATTCAACAGAAAACAAAAGAGGACGAGAGATTATTCTCAGAGGAAGAAGGCTCAGGAGACTAGTTTCCCTGGGTATCAGATATGGATGCTGAAGCCACAGGCCGGCCACCAGCCACGAAGAACATTCCGGTGGAGCAGGCACACAGCGGTGGAGCAGGGAGGGTCTGGCATCTCTGCTGCCTTCAGGGCCCTGAGTGCAAGAAGAGACCTTGGGATCCAGTGGAACGGGCACCGTGTGAGGAAGAGCTGGGTGCTATGTGCCCTGCCCGGTGCTGACTGTGCCCCAGGAGGTACGTGAGGCGCGGGAAGGCAGCTGCGAGGAGAGTGGGCCTGGAAGGAGCGGGTGGACGTGGTCTCAGGGGGTCAGAAGGCGGTCAGGTCAGGACACACAGAACGTGGAAGCAGATGCGGCGCCTCACGAAGCTGAGCACAGACATCGCAGGTAGGGCCTTTACTAAACAGTGCTGGGCAACTCGATGGCATTTGGTAAGTGGAAAAGGCAGGGGCCATACCTCACAAAACACAAGAATGAGCTCCAGCTGGACCCGAACTCTACAAGCAAGAACAAAACTATACCAGCACCATGAGAAAACTGTCTTTCCCCTAACCGCACTGAAGGGAAAGATTTTTTAAAAAAAATTTTAATGTTTTATTTATTTCTGAGAGAGAGAGAGAGAGAGAGAGAGAGAGACAGCGTGAGCAGGCTAGGGTCAGAGAGAGAGGGAGACACAGAATCCGAAACAGGCTCCAGAGCCTGACGTGGGGCTTGAACTCATGAACCGCGAGATCATGACCTGAGCCGAAGTCAGACGCTTAACCGACTGAGCCACCCAGGTGCCCCAAAGGGAAAGATTTTCTAATTGTGACTAAAAATCCAAATGTACCAGGGGCACCTGGATGGCTCAGTCGGTTAAGCGTCCGACTTCGGCTCAGGTCATGATCTCACGGTCAGTGGGCTAGAGCCCCATGTCAGGTTCTGTGCTGACAGCTCAGAGCCTGGAGCCTGTTTCAGATTCTGTGTCTTCCTCTCTCTCTGACCCTCCCCAGGTCATGCTCTGTCTCTCTCTGCCTCAAAAATAAACAAACGTTAAAAAAATTAAAAAAAATCCAAATGCACCAAAAGAAAAGATTCGTAGAGTGTAGAGTGAAAAATATTTTGTTTAGAACACATATGATGAAAATATTAAATATTTTTAAAAAATTTTTAATGTTTTTATTTATTTCTGAGAGAGAGAGAGACAGAGCGGAGAGAGAGAGAGAGACAGAGCGTGAGCTGGGGAGGGTCAGAGAGAAAGGGAGACACAGAATCTGAAGCAGCTCCAGGCTCTGAGCTGTCAGCACAGAGCCTGACGCGGGGCTCGAACCCACGAACCATGAGATCATCACCTGAGCCAAAGCCGGCCGCTTAACCGACTGAACCACCCAAATGCCCCAAAAATATGAAATATTTTTTTTAATTTTTTAAAAATATTTTATTTATTTCTAGGAAAGAGAGAGAGCGTGAGCAGGGGAGGGTCAGAGAGAGAGGGAGTCACAGACTGAAACAGGCTCCAGGCTCTGAGCTGGCAGTCAGCACAGAGCCCGACGCGGAGCCCAAGCCCACGAACCGCGAGATCATGACCTAAGCGAAAGTCGGACGCCTAACCAACTAAGCCACCCAGGCGCCCCTTAAATATTTTAATATATATTACAAAGAGCTCCTATCCTTTATATGTGAATTTGAGCAAAAAAACCAAAATTCCACAAAGATATTAGAGAAAAATGGGAAAAGGAGACATCCCACTTCACCTGGCACGAGACATAAAACCCAAGCTGTGCAGAGGCCGGTAGAAACCGCCCACCCCATGCCACCCAAAGGGGCTGTGGGCAGATGGGCACGGCACACAGGGCCCCACGGAGGCACGTGGCAGCCAGCACTTCCACGGCCCTGTGGCCCCTAGCGTGGAGTGACCACCTGCAGACACAGGCACATGCCTCCAAAATCACAACAACACAAAATCACAAATTACTGGCTTTGCACAAGGCACCCTTGTAACTGCTGCCAAGACACACAACACTTAACTCGCTGAACGCGCAGTGTGCGTGCACAGCGTGGCCGGGGGAGGGCCTCACAGACGACACCTGCTAAGCCAGAAAAACCACCGGCCAGAGGCGCGCAGGGGGCACAGAGGTCTGGGAGGGAGGGGTCCTCCTCCGAATGTACCTGCCACAGAGTTTTGTCTTTTAGAACCATGTTAATGGTCTACGTGTTTACAAAACAAAATTAAATCAATAAGAAGAGAAAGGGAGCAGGAAAAGACTCAAATGGAAACAAATGAACCCAACTGTATTTCAATGAACATCATAACCACAGCCAAGCGGAAAGAACTAATCCACCGTCTATACGTTTTTGAGCAGAGTGCACATGGCGGGTGGAATACAAAGAAATTCTGAACTTATTTTTGGCGTTTTATATTTGTGTACGTATGGACAGGTGAAGCCCTTCCGGAGCGGTTTTCGGGTATGTATCAGACGAGCAAACGACGGCGCGCGGCTGCCCTCGGGGGCGGGGGGTTGCTGCCCTCGGGGTGGGGGGGGTGCCGCCCTGGGGGGGCTGCTGCCCTCGGGGGGAGGCTGCTGCCCTGGGGGTGGTTGCCCTAGGGGGGGCTGCCGGGGGGGGGCTGCCGCCCTGGGGGGGCTGCTGCCCTTGGGGGGTCTGCCGGGGGGGGGGCTGCGCCCTGGGGGGGCTGTTGCCCTTGGGGGGGTCTGCGGGGGGGGGGGCTGCCGCCCTGGGGGGGGCTGCTGCCGGGGAGAAGGGAAAGGCTGNATCAGACGAGCAAACGACGGCGCGCGGCTGCCCTCGGGGGCGGGGGGTTGCTGCCCTCGGGGTGGGGGGGGTGCCGCCCTGGGGGGGCTGCTGCCGGGGGGGGGCTGCTGCTGCCCTGGGGGTGGTTGCCCTAGGGGGGGCTGCGGGGGGGGGGCTGCCGCCCTGGGGGGGCTGCTGCCCTTGGGGGGGTCTGCCGGGGAGGGGCTGCCGCCCTGGGGGGGCTGCTGCCCTTGGGGGGTCTGCTGGGGGGGGGGCTGCCGCCCTGGGGGGGGCTGCTGCCGGGGAGAAGGGAAAGGCTGCGGGACAGGAGACGGAAGAGCAGGCCCTCGGGAACGGGCTGGAACCGGAGGAACCGGAGTGAACTCAGCATTCGTAATGTGCGCTCGGAGACGCACGCGCTCGTCTCGTCTGGTCACGGCGCCGCGGCAGCCGCGCCCTCAGCGGGGCCCCCAACACCCGTCTCCGCGCGGCGCGGCGGCGCACACGTGCCTGGAGCCGGAAAAAGCAGCGTCCGAGGGTCACAGGCCCGTCGCGAAGAAACCTCCCGGGCGCATCCGGGACAACGCAAGCGCCAAAGTAACCAAGTGCAAGAACAAAGTACAAACGCTGTAAAACAGAAAGGAATTTCGGAGCCCGAGCCAAGAATGCACAAGGGAACGCGCACGAGCAGGGACGCGGGGGAGCCGGCGCCCCGCACGCGTCCCCGGAAAGACCGACTGCGGAAGAACCAAGCCGAACCCCCAAAGCGGGGAGGCGCAGGGCGGCGAGCCCCGGGCGACGGCCGAGCGTGTGCTGAGGGGACACCCCGGGGACAGCGGGACGCGGCTGTGCAGCGTCTACTACGAAATCGACAACCCAGACCAATGCTCCATTCGAGAAAGGGCAACTACTGCCTTAAAAAGTGTCGGTGTGGGGGCGCCGGGGGGCTCAGTCGGTCGAGCGTCCGACTTCGGCTCAGGTCATGATCTCACAGTTCGTGGGTTCGAGCCCCGCGTCGGGCTCTGTGCTGACAGCTCAGGGCCTGGGGCCTGCTTGGGATGTGTCTCCCCCCTCTCTGCCCCTCCCCTGCCCTCTCTAAAAAATAAATAAATATTAAAAAAAAAAAGTGTCAGTGTCACAAAAGGCAGGGAAATTTCCAGATTACAAGAGGCGAAGGAGCCGGGTAGCAACAGTGAGCCGGCGGGCGAGTGTGTCGGAGTCGGAAGCACCGTGAAGCGCGACCGAACCAGCTGACAAGGACGGGACCACACGGCACAAGAGACGGGGGCTCCCCCCAGCTGCCCCCCCGCTGCGCCCCAGAAGCGGCGCCGTGCAAGGGAGGGGAGGGGCACAGAGGCCACAGGGTGAAGGGCAAGGGGGTGCAAGTGTTCGGTGCACCGTTTCTGCTCTTGCAACTTTTCTGTACGCGTGGAATTATTTACAAATAAAGCTAAAAATGAGTAACGTTAAAATGATGAACTGCCTTGGTGTGGACTGATGTCTGGAGGCGCACACGGAGGTGGGTCCAGACACGGGCCTGCAGGGCATCCAGGTCCCTCCCTCTGCAGCAGGAAGTGGGGGCCGCACCTGGGGACCGGCTTCCACAGAAGTGCCTCAAATCCCGAAGAAGCAGGGACCACCTGTGGCAGCAAAGCCCCGGCAGGCCCGCGGGGTGCAGGTGACCGGTGGCTCACCCCAGCACAGAGTCGACACACCAGCTGCCCGTCCTTCTCTGAAAGGAAGAAGGCCAGTCCTCTGATAACTCGGCCGCACCGATGGCTTCTCTTACCTCGTGCTTGACCCTGAAATCCGGGGCTCTTGCACGCCAGCATCGTGGCTGTCACATTCATAATCCCTCGTCTGGGACATTGCAGTCTTTTCCTGAGGACCCGGGTGGACAGAAGTCAGCGGATCATCGGGACTCTCCCTCCACCGTCAGTCAGGAAGGCACCGCCCTGCGAGAGAGCAGAGGTGTCTAAGTACAGAAATTTGGAAAACATCTTTTGAGTCCAGGGAACATAATGGACCAGACCAGCCCCTCATAGCCCAGTGCACCAGCGAGAATAAGGAACATCCAGGCCTAAGCGCAGTTTCTCTGCTCCTCATGCCTGGCTGCTGAACTCCAGCCAGAGGAAGGCACCCAGGCCCCTCGCCAGCCGGCCCTGGGGAAGCTTCCTGCCACCTCTCAGACACGATGTCTTCAGCTTTCCAACAGGGACAGTATCACGTGCCTCGGGCTGCAGTGGTGCTGGGGACAAAGCATATGGCAAGGCCCAGACAGGGAAACACCCAGGAACAGGCAGCACTCACGCAGGATCACCTGACTGATGACGAAGGGTGGACTTTTCTTTTTAAAATATTTATTCATTTTTTGGGGCACCTGGGTAGCTCAGTTCGTTAAGCGTCTGACTTCAGCTCAGGTCATGATGTCACAGTTTGTGGGTTCGAGCCCCACGTCAGGCTCTGTACTGACAGCTAGCTCAGAGCCTAGAGCCTGTCTTCGAATTCTGTGTCTCACTCTCTCTCTGACCCTCCCCTGCTCATGCTCTCTCTCTCTCTCTCAAAAATAAATAAAACACTTAAAAAAATAAAATAAAATATTTATTAATTTTGGAGAGAGACAGACGGAGGGAGGGGCGGAGAGAGGGGAACAGAGGACCTGAAGCAGGCTCTGTGCAGTCAGCAGCAAACCCGACACAGAGCTCAAACTCACAAACCATGAGATCATGACCTGAGCTGAAATCGGATGCTCAATCAACTTAGCCACCCAGGTACCCAAGAGTGGACTTTTCAAAAATGGTGTTGTAGTGACTAGATACACTCATGGGAAAAAATGGATCCTGACCCCTACCTCATCCAATACAAGACTCCACTCTAGATGAACTACAGTTCTAAATATTGAAAGTAAAACAATAAAATTTTTAGAAAACATGTAGAAGGTTTTTTACTCTTACAGCAGGTTCAGGTACCTTAATCAGACATAAAAAACCACTAACCACACCCGATTACCTGGACCTGTGCACAGAGTTTCCAACAGCCATGGAAATGTTCCAGCCAAATGTTTATCACAGCAGAATGGACCCTTAAAGTTCCTCCAGGAGCCTACCCACACGTAGGTGAAGCTCCCAAAGGGTGAAAGACAGAAGCCAAGCACAATCAGATGCATACAGCACGATTCCGTCACATAAACACCCTCACATAAATACGTTCAAAATCAGGCCGAGTCAGCCTCTGTCAGAAATCAGAAGCAGCTGCCAGATAGTGAGGGGAGGGGTCCAGTTTGGTGCCATTTATGAGAGTGTTGGTTTATGGAAGCTCAGGACCTACATGCCTATGTCCTCACGCTTTTCTGTACACACATCCCTCAGTTTTGATAGAAAGCCTGCAGAAACTAGGAGCAAGAACAGAATGCCAGGACAGGACCCTCCCCAGCAGAGGCTGGTCTGCACACCCCACCTATGCTATTGAAGGGGAAATAAAACAAATTCAAGGCCCCAGGTTGGGCATGGCTAGCCAGGAGCCCAAGGGCGGGAGACTGCAAGGCAATCAGACCCTTTCCCCAAGGCTCAGAGGGATGGTGACAGCACAGATCAACCTGACAGTGCTTGGCTCGTGAGCTGGAGATCACCCACCTAGAGGAAATGCCCCCACCCTTCTCCTCTCTGCCATCTGAATATTCATACAAATTTTACTTAAATACTTAACTACTGGGAATGCCATTTAAAAAAAAAAAAGAAACTCAAGTATTTCTAACTCCTTGTCCATCTGGGTTGTAAACAGGTGACCTTCCTTTACGGCTTTAATATTAAAAAAATACTGAGCAGTGTTAGTAAAATTCTGAAAAACTTTTTAGTTTTTACCATAACCTGAAAGCAACTCAAATCAGCCACCTGCACCTGCGTACCCCCTTTCAGTTCTTGTCCGTCCTTTAAGGCTAGTCAGCCTTTGGTTGCTGAAGATTATACCGTTGAGACGCCAGACTGGCCCTCCTTCCTCAAGTCAACCCTGTATCAGTCCCTCCAGAAAGCCTCTCCAGTCCGGGACAGACACCACATCCCAGTGACTCCCAAATCCTCTGGGTCTGACACCAGACAGTAATAGCCCTCCGACTTCTGCTCTTCATTCCTGAAGTGGTCTTCATTCCTCTAGCTCCTTTGCATTTCCATGGGAATTTCTCCTTGTATTATCTTCGTCTAGTTTTGGTATCAGGTTAAGATTAGCATAATAAAATGAATTGAGAAGTACTCCATCCTCTCAATTTTCTGGGAGAGTTTGTACAGAATTGCTATTATTTGTTGCTCAAACATTTGGCGGACTATACCAGTGGAGCCATCTGGGCATGTCCTTTTCTTTGCAAGAAGATTTTTAATTACAATTTCAATTTGTTCAGTAGATATAGAGCTAACCAGGTCTTAAACTTCATGAGTCATGTTTCATGGTTTTGGCTTCCCAAGAATTTGTCCATTTCGTGTAAGTTGTGGCAGATTTATTGGCACAAAGTTGTTATGCCATTCTTTTATTTTATTTAAAAAAAATTTTTTTAATGTTTTATTTGAGGAAGAGAGACAGTGTGAGCAGTTGAGGGTCAGAGAGAGGGAGACACAGAATCTGAAGCAGGCTCCAGGCTCTGAGCTACCTGTCAGCACAGAACCCAATGCAGGGCTCAAACCCACAAACCGCAAACCCACGAACCCCAAGATCATGACCTGAGCCGAAGTCGGACGCTTAACTGACTGAGCCACACAGGCACCCGTATGCCATTCTTTTATTGTCCTTTTAAGATCAATATAATATGTAGTGATGCCATCTCTTTTGTTCCTGATATTGGTAATTTATGATCTTTTCCCTTCTTTACCTTATCTGGCCAGCCAGAAGTTTGTCAATTTTACTCCTCTTGAAGAAAAAAAAAAACAGTGTTGGGCTTCATAAATTCTCATTTTTTCCCTGCTTTAGTTTCTACTTTGATCTGAATTATTTCCTTTGCAGTCCTTTGGATTTCAATTTGCTTTCCTTTTTCTAGATTAAGGTAGAAACTGAGTTTAGTGCTTTGCATCTTTGTAAAGTTTCAATCTGAGTCAGGCATTTAGTGTTACAGAGACCCCCTTAGGGCATAGCTTTTGTGGCATCCAGCAAGTTTTGATTCTACTTTCATTTTTATTCAGTGCAAAAACTTGCCAATTTCCCTTCTGATTTCTCCTTTGACTCATGGATTACACAGAAGTATGTGATTTATTTTGCCAGTAGCTGGTGATTTTCTAGATATTTTTATTGGTTTCTAAATTTCATTTTTGTCAGAAAAACTATGATGCAGACAAATGGTCTATCCTGGTAAACAGCTCATATGCACTGGAAAGCACACTGTTGGGTGGACTGTTCTATGAATGTCAACTGGGTCAGGTGGGACGATAGCAGCAGCATTCATTTTCTGTCTACCAGTTTTACCAATTTCTGAGCAAAGGATACCAAGAGCTCCAACTTTATAACTGCAGATTTGTCTATTTCTCTTTGCAGTTCTATCAGGTTTTTGTTGTTTATCTTGATAGAGAGAGAGGCAGAGAGAGGAGGGAGAAAATCCCAAGCAGACTCCATACTGTCAGTGTAGAGTCCGACGTCAGACTTGAACAAATCATGAGATCATGACCTGAAATGAAATCGAGTTGGATGCTTAACCGAGCCACCCAGGTGCCCCAGTTCTATCAGTTTTAGTTTCATGTGTTTTGTAGCTCTGCTATTAGGTACATAAATTTATGCTGTCTTCTTGATGAATTAACCTCTTTTCCATCATGAAATATCTGTATCTGATAGTTTTCTTTGCTCTGAAATCACTATATTTGACATTATTACAGCAAATCCACCTTTCTTTCCATTAGTGTTAGAATTGTACATCTTTTGCCTTCTTTTTACTTTTAACCTGTTTGTGTCTTTAATATTTAAAGTGGGTTTATTGTTGCCACCATATATTTGGGTACGCCTTTTAATGCTGACAAATTCTGCCTTAAAATTTTTTTTAATGTCTATTTATTTTTGAGACAGGAGAGAGAGAGCAGGATCAAGGCAGGGGCAGAGAGAGAGGGAGACACAGAATCCAAAGCATGCTCCAGGTTCTGAGCTGTCAGCACAGAGCCAGACATGGGACTTGAACTCCCAAGCCATGAGATCATGACTCAAGCTGAAGTCGGACACTTAACCAACTGAGCCATCCAGGGTCCCTAAATTCTACCTTTTAATTGGGTGTTTAAATAGTCTAGATTTGTGATTCTTGACATGGTTAGGTTGAAATCTACCATTCTGCTACTCTAATTTTTTTTAATTTTTATTTTAATTTTTTATTGGGGGGGGGCAGGGGCAGAGAGAATCCTGATGCATGGGTGAATCCCATGACCGAGATTATGACCTTAGCAAAATGAAGAGTGGGCATTCAACCCACTGAGCCACCCAGCCACCTTCATCTTCCTACTTTAAAAAACTTGTCAGGGTACCTGGATGGCTCAGTCGGTTGAGCATCTGACTTTGGTTCTGGTCATGATCTCACAGTTCATGGGTTTGAGTCCCACATGGGCTCCGTACTGACAGCTCAGAGCCTGTAGCCTGCTTCGGATTCTGTGTTTCCTTCTCTGCCCTTCCCCCACTCACACTCGGTCTCTCTCAAAAATAAACATTAGAAAAAAAATTTTTTTAGAGCCTAAGTGTCCATCAACGGACAAATGGATCAGGGAGATGTGGTTTATCTATACGATGGAATACTCCATGGCAATAAGAGTGAAATCTGGCCTGTGCAGCAACATGGATGGACCTTGAGGGTGTTAGGCTGAGCGAAATAAGTCAGGCACAGAAGGACAAATACCATATGTCTACACGTACAGGAGGATTAGGAGGAACTTAACGGAGGAACAAGGGGGAGAAGAAGGGCGGAAATGGTGGGGGAAAGGGAGAGAGGCAAACCATGAGAGACTCT